CAGGTGCCACTGCTGTGAGACCCACCTGCCACAACTAACAACTTGCTTTACTGTAAACCAGTTCCAAGACCGTATTCTTGCATGCAAAACCATCAACAACTTACTTGGCTGGCTACAACTATGATTTACACCTGTCCAGAAGTCACATACTCTGAACTCTGCGGGTAGAGGGATATTAAAATGTTAGAAAGAACTAATCACTGTTTTCTCTAATGCTGAATATTGATGTCCCATGCCTTAGATTTCATTCCAAAAATCAAGTGACTGGCAGAGAAGCGTGAAGGAATTGCTTGGCTGATGAGGACAAACACGAGGATAGTTTTCTCCCCTGTACAGCTGCCTACCTTCTTCCATATACGTCTGTCTGATGGCCCCTATGCCAACCCATTTGTCCTTCCAAACCTCTGCTAACAGCTGTCCCAGTTCCAAAAAATCCCTTCTTCCTTGTCATGCACCAGAATAGCAAGTATCTCGACAGTGGTGTTCAGAAATAACTTATTTCAAAGGGCTTATTAAATAAATATATGCCGCCCTCTTTACTCCAGTAAGGGAGAGTGGTTAGAGGAAGAAGTGAAAAACCGCTGCATCAATCCTGCTGTTAACAGCAGAATTATGAAATGTTGATTTAGACACTTCTTGACAGAAAGCAAGCAAAAGAGTAACTACAGTTTAATCTATGGCCCAACCCACAATTACTTTTATGTGGTTGTCCAAATTTCAGTGGAGCCGAGTTCTGCCATACCTGTATACATATGTATGTACACAGCTTTTCATTTCTGATCTAAAATTGTGTTACATCACAGTTTTCTCTGAAAATGTAACCATGATCCATTTTGAGACAGGTTGAGAGGGGCAAATTACTCTCATTCTCAGTTAAGCACCTTCACATCAATTCATTAATATTATTAAAGTCTAAATTTCTCTGTTTTCATTCTGGGGCGGCACAGGACATCGAAGAGGGCACAGGAACAAGGCTCTGAAAACCCAGCTCAATTTCCAGCTCTGCCACTGGAATATTTGTGACCTGAGATTAGGCCTTCCTGTTCCGTTCCCCTAATTTAAGATTAGGATAATAGTATCGGTCCCTTTCTGTAGTAGGTTTTGAAACCTACTTACACAAACTGCCCTATAAGCATTATGTATTTGTTTTTTAACCATTGATTGTTGAAGCGTCTCATGCTGAGCCAGGACACTGAGTCAGTCCGACGCTTGTAAAAGAAGCGTCACTGACTGGGACAAAACTCTACATGGAAATGCAAAACCTTAACATTAGTACGCTGAAAGCCAGTGACAGTTTTATTGGCAGTGATTATTAATGCACTGAGAAAACAAACACATTATCCCTAACAAGAAATTGTCATGCTTAATTGTCAGTCTTCGCAAGCCTATTTCAAAATAAGCAAAAGACAATCAATTGTATTTGAAGCACATGCGGTACAGTACATTTCAGAGATTTTAAAATCAGAAATGTACTTCTGTCTGCTATCAAACCTATAAAGGAAAGCAAGAAATAGCAAGCTGAAAATACATTCAGAAGTGGGTGAAAGTTCAATGGTCACATTTAGAGAAATGTTAAACCATTTGGTCTTGCAATAGCGGGTGGAGGAAGAAAGGAGAAGCTGAGGTCTACAAAAGGACAGACACTTTATACCCACAGGAGCTGTCTAACAAAGTAAACACTCAAGATTAACTTTTGCAATCCTAGCTTCAGTTCACACAGTTCCTTTTTAACATCAGTCATTAATTCCTGACTTTGTGCGGTGTCTCAGTGTTGGAAAGACTTCTGAGCACTCGGAAAACACCTCCTCTTTCTCTCCAAAACGAATGCCCCAAGGCTTACCTGTTGTGTGATTCACAGCACCTCTAATGCCTCACTTTTATGTTCCTTCCTTTGGTTTGTAAACTATGTCACAGGAGCTGATACTTGTTTAGTAATTTTTCTCACTAAAGAAGTTTGTATTTCTAAGGCCAGAGATGTAAACAATTAAGAATTTACCACTTCCCCCTAACAGAGACACTACAGGACAGATGTGGGCACCTCAGCCCTGCCTGCCACTGTGCTCCAGCTGCCACCGGGCCAGGGTCTGTCCTGCCAACTCCTCTTGGGATTACGACCTCTAGAATATCCCAAGAGACACCTTTCAGCCTCCAACCCAGAGGCACCAGAATTCAGCTGACTACACCCCACATACCACATAAACAAACCAAACGTGTACATAAGCCAATAGCAATATACATATATATAGTCACAGTCATATGATTTTCTAAAGATAGGTCTCCTTCAGCTGGAGGTTATGGCCTTGATTCAGGTGTTCCTGGCTGAACCGTTACGGTGTGTTTCGCAGGCAGCATGCTGGGGGGGGACACTGCCGCCCTTCTGTCGGCACCATCAAGGGATTTGGTCAAGCTGAGCGCTTGCACTTCAGTTACTCAAGTTAACAACATGGAGTGAGTGAACATCAAGCTATTGATTTTACTGAAGAATGAAGCTATTGTAGACCATGCCTGCATAATGTATGGGAGGGTACGCAAGCAAACAGGTTTTAACCTTTCATCCTAGGGATGTGCTTTGATTCAGCAGTACATTTGGACCACGAGAAGATGCCCCAGTGGCTCAGATCAACTGATCTATCAACTCCCAGACTCTGCCTCCAACAGTGGCAACCAGAGAAGCTATTCAGGCAGCATGTACAAGTCTGGACACTGTGTGTGGTCCACTCTCCTCAGGCTTCCCAGCATCTGCAATTATTGTATTAAGAACATAGGAAGCCCATTCCCATCTAGTCCTTTTAGTACCCACTTATGGGCCCTCTGTCCATTAATTCATTTAATCCTTTTTTGAAGGGATGAGAGCACGCTGATGCTCTCATCCACTCAAGCTACAAGTCTTTGTATATTTCAGACCCAACTTAGCAAACTGAAATGCTGCCAGGAAATTAAAAAAAAAAAAACAAAAACCAAACCAACACAACAAACAAACTTTGACATATATAGTAGCTTACATCAGGCCTGACCCTGACTGATCAGTCCTTGTAAAGGATGATCCTTCTAGAAGAAAATAAAGTTCACAGCTGAAGCCGCTACCAGAAAGTTTGTGATCTCCAATCCGTTTCATGTCAGCAGAGAAACACTGGCAGAAAATGAGGGGGACATCAATGAAGTGACAGAACCGTCATGTGCGTCTTGTGACAAAATCAAACTTTCAGATTTCTGTTTAGTAATAAGATTCCAAGTCATGGCACTTCAATATCCGAGACAGCTTCCCCAGGTCTTCTTTCCCCGAGTCACAGCTTACGAAAAAACACTAGGTTGTTTTGGTTTTTTGACCAAAATCCTGCAAGTTGGAAACCAGACTGAACCCCATCTAACACGATCTGCACCGTGACACCCAGAAGCGCAGGCGGGCCGCCGGCTTCACTACAGGACTCGCCCGCTCTGACTCACGGATGAGGAGGAAGCCAGGGGCAGCCCGGGCCCACCCCGCCCGGCGCCGCTCGCCCCCGGGCCAGCGCAGCCCTGCACCTGAACCCCACTCCCCCTCCGCGATGCGGT